GGGGGAATCACTATTGTCCAAGCCATTTAAAACCAAGAAGGTACAAAACAGCAGTTTAAAGTTTTCTAACGCTTCCTCTGAATGTTCCAAGTGGATAGCCTATCTATGGGCTCCAAAAGTGAGACAGTCCTGTGGCAGAAGTCATTAAGTCCTTGATGCCTCCTCCAGAGAAGATGAAAGGCACCAGTTAGAATGAATTTTTGTTTAATCTTTGGATTATGTAACCACCAGAGCTAGTAGCTGGAGAAAGATACACACCTGTATTGTTGTCATAGAATTTGATGTGCCGGTCTTCATGGGCAGTGATACTGATAGGAAGAGTTGGATGGCTGATGACTCTGTTTATCTGGCAGGACGAGTTAACTGCTAATTTAAAAAAAATGCATGGTAAACATATACAGGTCACTAATTCCTTTGAAATGCTACTAAAAAGTTTAGTTAGTTCTATGCAGAAGTTAAATCTCCCACTTCTATAAAGGGACAGTCTCTCAACTCATAATTACATTTGTATTAGGAATCATTTAGGATGAGAGAGACAAGTACTTTGCAAGTTAGATATACACTTCCTTACATGAATACTTGCCCACATGTTCATTTATATATTGTATGACCTATCCATGTGGATAAGTGAAGCCCATATTTTCAAAAATGGCTAGAGATTTGGATGCCAAAAACTTGAGACACCATCTTAGGAGATGCTTGTTTTCAGAAAGTTGAATATCCATCCTCTGAAAAATTAAGGCAATATCCCACATTAAGAACCCTAAACCATTAATTGCTTCTGAAAATTTAGGCCACACACATATTCTATAATTAAACAAGTGCACGCATATGCTATTGTATGCAAGTTTTAAAGGAACAGTTTTGAATAGCGGAATAACTTAAGAACAGGAAAGTCACCAGGTAAATTATGTTGATTATCCCAAATGTAAGGGAATAAAATGTTTGTACTGTAACACACATAATAGACACTTTCCTGCCACACATTTTACCCAAATAAACCCCCAGAAGTGTTTTCAATATTTGAATGAATTTTTCTTCACATCTTTCTGCTTGTAAAACCACAGTTCCTTGGTAACGCAAGACAAATCATGCAGGCCTCAGCAAAACCAACATTATGGGTAGTAAGTTTTTAGAAACATATATAGTTATCCTATTCCATATATACTATAAATGTTCATGATCTTTTGACACACGGGGCTCAAATTCACTGGAGAAAAGGAATCCCTGACTTTCTAACAGTATCGCTTCCTCTTCTGACCATGGCAAATATTTAAAATATGTGAAACAAGTCTAGGATTAACTATTCTATATCCTGCCCCTTATAATACTATTAACTGAGACGCAAGAAAAAACATTATTTGGCAGTGTATTGTTTTTTTGGTTTTAAGTGATTAAAAATGGAAGATATCTGGAAACATACTTTGTCAAAAGTAGTTTCAAGAAGGACAAATCAATAAGCAAAGTGTAGGCAGATGACATTTAAAACATTTCATAGTCTACTGAAACTCACTCAACACTGAGATGAAATATGGCAGCAACACGACTATGCACTGCTAGGCTACATAGGCCTCCAGTGGTAACCTTGCTACTTCTGGTGAAGCACAGAGAGTTATACCCAATAGGTCAGAAGCCCAGTTTTGCATCCTCTCGTAAACTAAAATTCTGGAATTGTGGTGCAAATTACACGGTTTTACATATCAAATCTAAATGTAACCTATGACTTGTTCCATGATATCAAAATTTTAATATAAAAAAAAAAGCATCAAGTTTATACAGTGAAGTTCTACCATACTCCACTATGATTTCTCTGGGTGCAATAGGTTAAATAAATATCTGAAGCGTGATAATAAGAGACAGAGATAGACTTTCTGTGGCTGTAAGGGACAGGACTAAGAGCAATGACTTCAAACTGCAGCAGCGGAAATTTAGGTTGGAGATTAGAAAGAACTTCTGACCGTGTGGGTTGTTACCTAGAGAAGCTGTGGAATCTCCATCCTTGTCAATTTTGAAGAGCAGGTTAGACAGCTGCTTGGCTGCAATTGTCTTAGTTAGGGATCATCCTCTCTGAGTAGGGGGTTAGACTAGATGAGCTCATGAGTTCCCTTCCAGCCCTACTTTCCTACAACTCTAGGAAGAACAGTCTGGATACCATTTTGACAAAATCCTCCAATGGAAAAAAAAGCAATACTTTCTATTTACAAACCAGATTTTTTTCTAATCCTTATGGAAATAAATGCTAAGTATATTGACTTTTCATACTGTGGTGCTGACTTGGGTGAAATGCCCTAAGCAACACTGGTCACTATCTTAAAGAACAGTGCAAATTAGGGCAGATTCAGAAAAAGGCAACATGAATGAGGGAGGACACGGATAATTCTCATATGCAGACAAATTAAAGCTACCAGGATTGTTTACAATAAAAAAAGAAGTGAAGTAGTAGAGACAAAGTTATATAAATGTTTTTGGTTGTTTTTTGTTGGTTTTTTTATAGCAAGGTCCTTTGAGTAGATGTGGTATCTTTTATCAGACCAACTGAGTAGTTGGAAAAAACTTCTTAACAAGCTTTTGGGCACAGTTGGCCCTCTTCAGGAATAGGGAGTCTCTGCTGTTCTGTGACTAGCTAAGTGTGGCAGGATGACAGTGAAATTGTAAATAGGTAGAAATTAGAAAGAGAAAAGGTAAAGCAGAGAGGGGAGGGGAAAGAGAGCAGGGGGGGAAAGGCTAAAGGGGGACATTACAGTGATAGAATACAAGGTAAAAAAGAGGGTGTCAGTGAAAAAGGAAACAGTTGGAGATCAAGAAACAGGAATGAGAGAAGCTCAAAGCGTGTGAGGATGTAGTGAAAATATGAATAGGTAGGAAGGAGAAAAAAGGTAAAAAAAGACAAAGAGGGTAGATTAGAGCTTCTGCTCTCTTTCTTTCTCTCCTCAAACTACTCATAATAGGGAAGTAAGGAAACATTTGACGAAACAAAAAAGTGACCAATTCAAAAATAAATAAAAGGAAATAACTGTTCACAGAGTATGCAGTAAGTCTGTGAAAACAAAAAAGTAGTGAAGGGGATGAATAAAGGTCACTGGGCATATATGCTCCTATGAAAAATATCCAAAACTGTTCTAATAAACAACAGGCAGGCAAGGTTTTTTGGGTAGATGTGATATCTTTTTTTAGACCAACTTTTCAGCTTTTTCCAATTACTCAGTTGGTCTAATAAAAGATATCACATTTACCCAAAGAACCTTGCCTGCCTATGCCCTTAGACCAACACAGTTACAACCAAAAACCCTTATTAACAATAAATTTTGGGGAAATATATTAAATATTATGCTTCAGTATTCAAACCAAGTCTCCAGTTACTAGAAGTAATCTGCCAACTCCACAATTCTTACAGCTTCCTGGTACTAATCACTGTTAGAGACTGGATACTTAATTAGGTAGATGAGCCTCTTTCCACATGGTCAGTGTTATGTCCGTATAGCAAAACAAATCCAAAAAATAAACCCAACCAAACACAGGAAGTCTGCATAAAAGTGAAACAAGCCTATAAGATTATAATATAGAATCTCATAACTCATTTTAATATAGTAACTGTATCTTTTCCCCAGGCTAGTAGACTAGTAAAAATAAAGATTAGAGATTTCATTTGAAATTGCACGATTTGGAGTGACTTAAACGTCGGAGGAAAAGCAACAAGGGAACTGGCTAGTCCTCTTCAACATTCACATACAATTGTGAGAAGGGAAATTGCAAGAACCAGAAATCCTAGTATGATCACAGAAGTATGATGCCATTTGGTAGAACACACTTGGTAGGATGGGTCCTATGACTGGAATACCATCATGGACAGTTACAGCTTGTTCAGGAGGGATAGGCAGAGGAAAGGAGGAAGTGGTTGCTTTTATATAGGAGACATACACTTGTTCTGAAGTACAGCATAAAATGGAAGGTAAGTCTGTTGAAATCTATGGGTGAAGTAAGAGGTGAGAACAGCAAGGGTGATGTCATGGTAGGGGTCTGCTATAAACCACCCAACAAGAGGAAGGTTTTTTTCCAGTTAATATTTTAAGACACAAACTGCAGGACCTGATGCTAATGGGGGATTTTAATTACTCTGATGTTTGCTAGGAGGGCAACAAAGCAGCACACACGCAGTCTAGCAAGTTTAGTTGAGTGTGTCAGAAAACTTTTTGGTACTGACGGAGAAGTCAGCTAAGGGGAGTGGGGGAGGGAGCTCGTCTCAATCTGCTGCTCACAAATAGGGAGGAACTGACTGAGAATCTGAAGGTATAAGACAAGGTGGGTGACAGTGACCACGAAGTGACAGATTTCAGTATGGTAAGCTAAGGAAGGCAGGAGCACAGCAAAATGAGATGACCAGATTCCAGAAAAAGCAGATTTTAACAGACTTGGGAAACTAGCAGGTAGGAACCTCTGAGAGTCAAGTGAAACAGGAAAAGGAGTCCAAGAGAACTGCTCTTAAAGGATGCAAAAGCAAGCTATCAATACAAAGAACAGGAAGTGCAGCAAGGGACTGGCCTGGCTACACAGGAATTTTCAGTGAGTTAAAACTTAAAAAAGAATCTTACTGACAAGCAGAAACTTGACCAGACTACAAGGGATGAATAGAAGCAGAGGCATAACTGGGTAATTTTGCACCCTGGGTGGTGTGCCAAATGGGACAATGAATTAGGCTGCCAACTGGTAAAACAGCAGCAGAAGTGCTATTTTTGCACCCCACTAAATTTGCACCAAGGCTGGTGCCCCAGTCACTCCTCCTGCTTAGTTACACCACTGAATAAGAGTATAGCACCAGCATGCGAGGTCAGGAAGGGCAAGGCACAAAATGAAATTTGGGTAGTAAGGAATGTAAAAGACTACCAAAAAAGAAATCATTCTGCAAGTATATTAGAAGTAACAAAAATCAAGGAAAGTGCTAGGGGTGCCCCTTCCTGAATGAAAAGGGCAATCTAATCATGAATGCTGTACAAAAGGTTCTTCTCCATATCATTTAATGCATTTTTTACTTCAGTCTTAACAAATAAGGTCACCTATCAGATGACTAAACATAGGGGGAAGCAAGAATAGGAGAGGGGATCATCAGCATAGGATAGGGAAAAAACAAGTTAGAAAATACATAGAAGCTGGATGTTTAAGTCAGCAGAAGCAAACAAAATTGGCTGATGTTTTTGCAGAGCCACAGGCTATTCTCTTTGAGAACTCATGGAAGTCAGGTGAGACCCTGGACAAGTGTATACATAACTTTTTCTTTCTTTCTTTCTTTTGAAGAAAAAAAGGGAGTGGGAGGAGGAACCAGGAAATTACAAATCAGTCACTGTAACCTCAATACTTGGAAAGATTATGGAGCACATCATTAAAGAATCTATTTCTAAGCACCTGGAGGATAACAAGGCAACCAAGCTTTTTGCAAGGTTTTTAACATTTTCTCTCAGGACACTAATTAGCAAGCTAAGAAAATACAGTCTAGATGCAAATACTGTGAGATGGATACAAAACTGGTTGGATCATCATGCTCAAGTAGTTATCAATAGCTCAAAGTTGAGAGTAGGTGTCCAGTAGGATTCCAGAGTTCTGTCCTAGCCTTGGTATTGTCAGATATCTTCATTAATGATTTGGGGAATGGGACTGCAGTTCACAAATTTGCAGATAATAGTAAGATGGATGGAGATGCAGACTCTTTGGAGAACAGGTCACAATTCAAAAAGTATGTTGATAAACTGGAGAAGTGGTCCAAAATTAAATGAATGAAATTCAATAAGGACTGAATTTCACAAGAAATGCAAGGAGACATACAAAGAAGAGCAGAGCAGAGTCCTGCATTTAGGACAGAGCAATCAAATGTAGTCTGAGAAACTACAGGCTTGGCTGCAGCTCTGCTGAAAAGGAAACATCAGAATAGACTACCTAGAGAGGTTGTGGAATGTCATCTCCTTAGAAGCTTTTAAGGGCAGATTAGATGAACACTTGCGTGAAATGGTCCAGTGGTTCTCAACCTTTTTTGTACCAGGACCCACTTGTAAACATCGATGGCCAGTCCTGACCCACTGCCCCTCACTCCTGACCACTCCCCCCAGCAACGCAGTGTGTGGGGCAAAAGGGAGCTCTGGGGCAAAAAGGAGCTCTGCCAACCTGCAAGGGAAAATGTGTGGTTTCCCACATTTTTTTCCTTTAAAGGAGTATCCATTTTTAAAGTTGGTTGATCCATTTAAGTTTCTTTGTGACTCCTTCATATATTCTTGGGATCTACTCTTGGGTAGCGAAACACCAGTTTAGACAGAGCTGATCCCAGTCTTGAGCATGGGCCTAGACAAAATACACATATGAGGAAAAACTCCCATCCTATTCTTCTGAGATTTGGGTTTTATTATGGATTTGCCTCATCTGAATCCTTTGTATTAAATATTTACTATCATTACAATCCTCTAAATGTTGTCCAATAAAGTTATTTATCACAAATTCCAAAGATGCAGTTCTTCTCCCCAAAGAGAGGCAAGTGATTCATTCTGCTGTTGCTGAAGCCCTGCAGGAAGGAAGTCCAGTGGATTAAAAACAAGTTATTGTTGTTTCTGAAATTCAACAAGTGCATTTCCCTTCTATAACCCAACATGAGATATTCTGCCTATTTGGTAAATTCAGTATCATCCCCTCTTAGGAGAAAGCTTCTATTCCTTTTGGATACATACTGGTATCTATGCTGGATTCCAGTGTCAGAATTTGTTGTCGTGTCTCCATATTAAAAATGCTAGTGTGTCCACTGTTAAACGATGCTACCATGAGGCTTGGGTCACTGCTTAAAAGGTCCACTGATGAAGGGATTCCCATTTCTAGAGACAAGAATAATGTTATAACTAGATTATTATACAATGGCAAAGGCAAAAAAATAGTTTACAATTTAGCTTAAAAATGTTCATTAATATGAAAAAAAAGTTCCTAATGTGGTCCAAAAATACACATTTTTCACTGTTATTTGAAAAGTAACTGGAAACCTGGCAGGCTTCTGTATTTATTATCATCATCATATCACTATCTGAATTTGGTCACCCCATTAGTATTCAATTGGTTTATACAGGTTTTTATTATATTGAGAGAGACTAAGGTGCCAAAATCCAAGCCTACTGTCCAACTTGGTCACTCACCTTATTTGGCAGATCTATGGCCTCATAAAACATTCTTTGCTAAAATACGCTTAACTGGATTTTAGCTGGGGTGGATCTATCTGTAGTCTGAAGTCCATTCAATAAGGAAGGAAATCATTTCTTGAATGGAGCTTTAGGATTGGTTTCCAAACAAGATAAATAATATAAAACAAAAACAACACGAGCAGGTAAGTAACCTGTATAAAGCAGGTACCAAAGCAACCTGTGCAGGTAAAATACCTTCAGAAATTGACAGTTGTCAAAAATACTACTAAGATGGAGGTCCTTATGAACACCAAGGGGGAATATGCGAGTAGTGAGAGATGTAAGGCCCTCAAATCACAATATGTACACCCCTCAACCCCTCTTTAACACTAAGTTTTCCAAGTTGCTCCTATGTACTGAAAGTTTTTAGCATAGAAAGCTATGTACGGGACAAAAACCTTGCTTGTAATTGTTTGCCAATCTTTTTGTCATGACTATTTCACCTCCCCCACCATGCCTGAGGTTGAGGTCTTCAAAACCTGGGAGCAAGAAATGCGTGCTGAATTATCTTCTTTAAGCCATTTTAAGGTGTGAAAGAATGGAGCCAGGCCCAAGCAGGGGAGGTTGCTGATAGAAACAGGAGTGTGGAGTGAAGCATGAAAAGGTAATGGAAAATGCCCAGAATATGCTACGGAAGTATACAGGAAGAAGTGCTCAGGGGTACCAACTTTCTAGCTCCATTACTGTGAACAGAGAAAGAAAACCTTGCTCCAACATAATCACTGGAGTGTACCAATTTGGAGTTCTCTACCTCCATATTGTTAAATGAACTTGGAAGAAAAAAGTTGGGAAAGCCAAAAAGGCAATATAAAATAGGGTATTTTCCCTCCATTTGTATAGTGAAAGGAAGCACACCCACATCTCTCTAGAGGCTTGCAAACTGTTAAACTTAAGGAATCAGATTATGGTCACGAGCGTTTTGTCGAGTTGAGTCAAGCTATCAGACCATACAGAGAATACAAATTCCTTTTCGCAAGAGGATTCCAGAATGTCAAAGCCAGAGTTGATTCTGAAACTCAAAATTTAAATTTGCTATGAAAAAGAATAATAAAAGTTTTGAAATCCATAACTATTTTTTCCCCCAAAACACATATTTTGCCTGAAAGTCTGCCAAAGAAGTGGGAAGTCAAGCTGACAGGACAGATTTCTGACAACTGCAAGTGTAACCCAGGCTGGATTACATTAATTTGTGTTCTCTGACAAAAAAGGTAAAAAGTTCTTTCAAAGAGAATATCATACTTCCTTCAGTTCAGTATAAATTAAGTAGCCTAGGTAAAATCAGGAAGAGTGTGTCTTGCAATTCTAAAAAGATGCACATCTGCCTTGGATAATGCAGCATCTTTAGATGTTAGTCTATTTGTGTCAATAAGCCATTCTGTAAGGCCTATTAAAATAGCTACCCATATAAGCTAGGCTATAAGCATTAAAAAATTAGTTTTTTGTAGTTCTGCTCAGCCAACACAGCCAACAAACTTTGCTATATCTGTTTGTGCGGTGTTGGGTTTTGGAGTGGTTTTTTTGTGAGGGGTCAGTGAAAGGTTTGCTCAGCAAGAGCAGAGGGGGCTGGCCATGCTAGTGTTAAGTCAGGCACAAGGCAGGACAAGATGGCACTAGAGACTAATTGATTCAGAGGGGCACCAACTCATTTTGTCAGCACCTGACCCACAACGGTAGTTACTCCTCTTCTCCCAGTCTCCAGGAAGAGAGGAAGCAGCAGGGCGATGATCCCTGCAAGTTCCCTAGATAGAGATGTCCCCTGTCTGTGGGATGTGCAAGCAATAGCAGCTGCCTCCACATCTACTGGCCTGGTCTTCAAGGAGAAAAGAAGCAACAGAGCAATGCTCCCTGTGTGTTTGCCAGATCAGGGAGTTCTCAGTCTGCGGGATATGCAGGGAACATTCCCCAGCCACCCAACTCCTTCTGGTCTCACAAGTCATCTGCTCCCCACATGCCTTCTCCAGACTGGCCTGGGAAGTGTTTCTCCTGCCACTCACTCCTCCTAACCTGGAAGGAGTGTAGCTGTGGGGAAGTGTACAGGCTTGCACAACACTCTCATGCCAGCAAGATATTACTCATTGAGCAATGACCTCTCCCCCAAACCAGGTGCATTTCCTGTGGGGAAAACTGAATGAATGCTGGTATGCTCCTAGTTCCCATCTGAAGAGCAGCAATTCCCCTTGTAGAAACAAATAAATGCCTGTACATGGCCTGTTTAGCATGAGTAAAGTTCCCCTAAGTAGTGGCTCCTATTTTCTCCCATTCCTTCAGGCCTGACACAATGAAAAATGTAGTTATTTAAGTCCAAACTACTAACTTGCATGTTATTAAATTTTCCGTAATTCAATTACAAAAGCTTTCAGACTAGTATAAGCCATGATCAGTAAAACGACACATACTAAAGCAAATAGCCTGCTTTATTCCACATGCCTGAATATAGAAATCATGACAGCCTACAGTTTTCAATTTTAGGGGTATACTTAGATCTTTATTAAAGCATTTAGGTGAGTGGCCTGCATTTCAGAGATGCTGAAAATACAAGATTCTTATGGATTTCAATGGCTTCTGGAAGTATGTTTTTTATCCTTGGCCCTATTCTACTAATGCTTTTTCCTGAAAAGTAGGAATCTATTGGAACTGGAAGCTCTAGCTGAGGAATGACCCACATTTTTCTGCATGAAAAATACTCACAGTAATAAACCTATGAAAATAGAATAGAAACACTTTTATTTAAGAAGAGAAATTAGGACAGCTTGAACAGAGATACCATAAGCTTTAAAAAAGGAAATTATTCTGTACCTTGATTATCATTGAATATATTAAGAGCTGGAGCAATTTCTGCAGCTTTCCATAAACGTATAGTGCCATCTGCTGAACAGGACAGCAAACGCTGGTGCGCTCCACTATAAACCAACCCCCATACTGCATCTGTGTGGCCTACAAAAGCACCTCTTAGAACAGAAGGATCTGTGAACAAAATGTCATAGGAAACAAGTTTCAAAATAAAAGAAATCAAATTAAGTTACACATTAGTACACATAGAAAATATTAACACCACAGGCCCTGGCTGGGCCTATCACTGGAAGAGTCTCCCTTTTTGTAGTATACTAGTATCCAGACTTCACCAGGGCATCTCATATTCAATTTTCCAATTTTCTAATGGAAAATGAATTTGCAGTTATGCTTCAGAAGGGGGCAACTGAAATATTAAAGACAACAGTTAAAACATGAGCTTTGATTAAAAAACTCTCAAACTACCCCATATAACATCAGAGAGTTACAAAAGTTGCTTAAAAATACAAAATCACCCAGATATCAGGAAACAATGAAACTTTGTTACATATAGGTGCAGCACAAACAGCCCCTTGCATCTGTTCAGATTAAAATTAAAGCACACTTAAGTAGCTGAAGGCACAACAACAAAAATATACATTTCAGGGGATAGTAAATATTCTTGATTTGGGCATTTACAGCAACTTGCAGATAGTGCTGACAGCTCTCTCACTGTAGGGTCCATTTTTTTTTTAAATTTATTGCAGTCTCATAAAACTGTCAGAGAGATAGGGAAGGTTATAATACAACGTATACAACAGGCCTAGTATGTTTCTCACTATAAATATGCTCACAAATGTTATGATAAAACCCATTTTGTTAAAACAGGCAGGTTTCATTCTTTTTGTTGAGTATTAAAGCAGCAGTTTGCTTAGTGTCTGAAACCAACATTTACCTTTTTATTTCCAACAAAGCATTGCTATGTAAAAAAAAAAAAAAATTGACAATGCTACTGACATAAGAAATTTCAGGTTTTTGCTAGACAAAAACATACCATAAGAATCGTAGGGATCGATATTTGGGTTTGTTGTATTCCAGCCATGGATGAGACCATCAGTTCCTCCACTATAACACTGCTCCCCATTATTACTCATGACCACACAGAGCACTGGACCACTGGAAAAATGTCCACAGAAGCAAGTTATCAATTATAACTATTTACACAATAATATCATAGGGACCAAGGGCTTGGGTAACTATATTTTTGAATATATAGGATAGCTTTCATGAAAATAATGTAAATGGTTTTTATATTTTAGTTCTCTGCAGACAGCTTCATCGAGTTAAATCAGTCCTGTGGCTGCTGCAACCATTGGGGAACCTTAGATGCTGTACATCATTGGTGATTCTTTAAGCAAAGTGACCTGGTGCTGCCCATCTCTCCAGGTATGGATGGCTACTAGCTCACACAGAGCTCATCCACCTTTGACAGGTCTTGTTTTTAGTCCTGTTGGGTGACCACACACCCTCGTCACGCAGCCCAGCTCAGGTGGGAGCACTGGTTTAGTTGATGACAACCTGACCATGTATCAAGCTGTACTGGTTTACATGATACCAGATAGCAGACCAAGAGAGGTCTGGTTTGACAGGGACAGCATCACACTGTAAACTAATTCAAGTACAAATCCTGTGCTGCAGCAATGAGCAAAACTAGATTTACACCATGTGCATGTAGTTTTTCTCTTTAAAATTATAGCTTTAACAAGACCCAACTAGAATAAGAATAGCCAGACTAGACACAAGCACACAGAAGCATTTAAAAATAGATAATGTGGAAGCTATATTAACACATGGAATGAGTAGCCAATTTTTTATTGTTATAGAAATATATAAAAAGAGTGTATGTATGTATATGTAAAAAAATATATATACAAATGTAAAAAATTGGCTAGTTATTCCATGTATTCCATATATAGAAATCAATTCTTGAACTACTCTGAACAGTGTTTTATTTCTCAGAATTAAACAATGATTTTGTCAAATACTTACTTATGTGCTCTGAATGTATATATAGGTTCTACATCAAGTGAAGCGCTCCTGAAAAAGAAAAAAGGAAGAAAAATAATCACAGAAGAGTCTGACAATTATCTGATTATATACAAATGTTCCTAGAAACACATGAAACAAGGTGCCAAAACAACTTTAAATTTATTGCAAATTCCTATGGAAAATTTTCCTCAACTCTGGTGATAGTTTTTCTTTGAGATTCAATACTAGAAACATTAGATTCTAAGAAGCCCTCAAACAGAAGATGATTAGTCATGAGCAACCTCACAACAATAAAACTAGCTGATGCGCAAAAGGTGGGGGGGGGGGAAGGCTTTCAAAGAACTACAGACTTTTTTATACCACATTATTTCCCAGCATAACAAAGTGGGAGGTAATTATACCTCTAACTCTGAGATTAGTTATACCAAAGCCCCAGGTGAATTTATAGCAGCCTAAGAATTGCTCCAGATTCCATCATCTGGTTACTCTCCCTATGAACCCTCTCCACTGAAAACTGGAGGAGTACAGCATACCCCATCTGGGTGAGTGGCATGCAGCCAGTCAGAAGGGCAGATCTGGTCATGGGACTCCCTAACTGTGCCAGCATGCCCAATTCAGTGGCCACTCCAGCTGGTCTGGGACCCATGTTGCATGCAGTACAGATCCCAGAGTGGCTGGAATGGGCGCTACATGTGATGCAGTCCAGCTAGAGCAGCAGCCACCATGCATGTGGTAGCCACCCTGGCCAGACAACACTGCAGATGGCACCCACCCCAGCAGTCCTGGGACTGTCTCGTACACGGCACCTACTCCAGCCAGTCCAGAACTTGCACTGCATGAAGAGCCTGCAAATGCCATGTGCAGTGCAGGTCCAAGACTGGCTGGAGTAGGCGCTGCATACGCAACAGTCCTGGAGCCCCTGATTTGGCCCACAAGCTGTGTATTGGACACAAGCGCTCTAGGGACAGAGAGAGAGAGAGAGAGAGAGAGAGAGAGAGAGAG